TTTTAGACTCAGAATGAATTTTGCTCCTGCGTAGACCTTTGCCCTGCTTCCTTAACACTTCCCCTAAATATAACCACAGCTCTCCTAGGTTCACCACTCCTATCTGCAATTGTTCCCAACTCTCGAGAGCGTCTTATGGTTGAATGCAATACCTGCCTTGTTTCGCTAGTTCGTCTGTAGATGCACCGTGCCAAAAGTGTTTGAAAATGCAAAGCGACGCTTAATTCACGGACTAGTTACACTTATATTATGTTAAAAATCTACCCAAAGTTTAGTATCATTAGAAAGGTAATAATGTAAGCTACTTTGTGAAATGGAAGAAATTCAATGAATTGTTATGAACATAGAAAAAATTTGCAATGAACGTCAGCGCGCGCTGTAATCATAATTTTGGCCCACCCTGTAGTAATGTCTTTTGTTTGGAAGCAACTATTAAATGGCTCAATTTAGTGATTTCTCCTCTCGTGCTGGCAATGAAGACAAACGATCTGACGTTGGCGGATTGGGGCTCCCATTGTCATATGCCGTTCCGGTATTCAATTCATCATCAGAAGGCCATGTTGGTACTCCAGACTTCCAGGTAGGACCCTACAGTAATCTTGGTGAACGAACTGTGAAATCATTGGTTCGGGTAGATTTGAGAGATCAAGGCTGAAGGCCAATTTCCTATTTGTAAAACTAGCACAATGCTTGTAATCGGGAACCATTTGTGCTGTTGATATTTATATGCCCCCAGGCTGCATAGTGACCCAAATTGAATCCCTTTTTGAAAAGCGCGCGGGCGCGTCGCGTCAGCAAAATTAGCTGCGCGTAATTAGCGACAGTCATTTTTTACGCAATTTACTGCATCAAGAATGTATCCATACAATCCAACGTGGGTCCAAGTCACCTATACTCGCCAAGAAAGGGTCCGAGTTACGGTAAGCAGTGATAATGTTTTAATTTTTAATTGGAATTAATATTTGCCAACATGAAACCTCCAAATTATGGTCTACTCAATCGATCAAGGTAGAATAATGAAATTACCGCCGAAATTAGCCAATTTGCTAGTATTTTATTCGCTTTTTGATAAGTTTGTTTTTGTTTTCGACCAGTAAATAAAGATGAAAATGTACTTTGTTACAGATTACTCCATACCTGGTCCAAGGTGGTCATGTTATTGGTGGTACTACCACAGTGTCAATGCAGTCGAAAACCACCGCCACTGCGGGCTATGGTTATGGTTCTTGGAGTACAGTTTATCCGACCTCTCATGGACTTTCAACACCATCCAACATTGAAAACTCTCAAAATGGTGAGTTACCTAAGTAAAAGATCTCTTCAAGAAAAAAAAAGTCGCCAATTATTCGGGAAAATCATAATAATAGGTCACAATCGGAAGTAAATGGTAATTGGAGATGTTTGTCTACCAAGAGGAGGTCCTAAAAGTAAACAAAGTAATGCTTCTAATGAAAATTCTTTTTGGGGGACGGTAAAATGCCGATCTATTCCTTGTGGGCGGGTACCCGTGGGTTGTGCAAGCGCATGCGGGTTCAAATCTCGTCGTCGACCACTTTTAGCCCCCGCGCAATCAAAATTTAGGTATGAAAAAAGTCAACTATAGCAGTTCTTGAATTGACCTTTACTCGTTTTTTTTCTGAATGGTTTCATGAAGGTAAAATATTGGGTCATAAGGTCCCTTACAAAATTAGAAATATAATGTTGTCTGTTGAAAACTCTTTCATAAACAAAATATCACCACATCGTGTTGAAGAAGTTTCATTTTTGAATATCAAAAAAAAAAAGAAACATATCACTTTGTATTTTGCTAGAAATTTCCAAACTGTCCTCACGAAGCGTCGCTCATTTGTTAAACGCCTAGGGATCGATAGAGAACACCACGCCCACCTTGCTGGCGAAGCGTTTGCCTTTAAGTATAAATGAATTTCTGGTTTGGTGAGCTTGGCGAAGTAGTAATATATTTTCAGGGATATCACGGGCTGATGGACAGATGCCATCAAATGTATTTTCATCATCACCACCGTACTATCAGAGCCCGATGATGAGTATGACTAGCGGTATGGCAGCACTTTCATTTGGTGCTCCTCAGCCTCCACCACCTGGAGCAAGTACTAACCGCTCTGAGTCGTCATATCAAGGTAAGAGGCTTATACCTATAACAGCGCACAATCGATCTTCCAATAGCGTTCGTTTTGAGAATAGCAGTATTTTTCGTATTGTGCAGTAGATCTATTGTGTTTGAACAAAGTACCAGTAAGATTTCCATGCATGCAATCTTCTTCATAGCTATCTCCAAATAAAGTTTAATTCCTCAAATGCAATAACTTTTCCAAAATCAGTAGCCATATTGGGCGCGCTATTGTTAAATGGAGCGAGTCTTGCACCTATCCACCAATGAGAGCGCGCGAGGAGCATGCCCAGCTTGCTCCCAATTGGTCCGACCCAAATTCGCCCCAATGGCGCACATGTGCAGGGACTTCGGCCAGCAAATTCCAGCCCAGAGCGGCTATTAGATCTGTAAACCCTCAATTTTTTTTTTTGAAAAATCGAGCAATGCCGAGGTAGTAATTCTCTGTGATTATTATTAGTTTCAGTTTGAAACTGTTTTGTATCGCTCGAATAAGTCTTACTTCTACAGATCGCTTTTCAAAGGAAATGCTTGCATGGACGATGGGGCACACTAAGCAAAATAGCACTGTGCACCATAGCAATGACAAGTTTTGAAACTACTATTACACCTCACCAGTTCCGGCTATGGGTCGTTAGGTCAGGGTTTGACCATCTAAGCGACGTTGACCGAATTGACTTAACAGTCCGCACCCAAAAAACAGCCATTCCATGGCCTACAATGCGTTCCTAATTGATACCCTTCTTTAACAAACCTTCACTGGTAATCGATTCATGAACTGGAGGCTTCTTCATCAATCAAAGCGATCTGTAGGAGATTCAGTAAGTTTGACGTCAATGAAGGACGATGATGTGTTTGAGGTATGAGTGGATCGTCTGGATATCCAACACTCGCACAACCACCTCAGTTGATGTACATGCCGTTCAATCAGCCACCATCACAGGCTCCTACTGCAGCTCCATCGTTAGGCAGTAGTCCAAACTTTTTCGGTAATTCCGTCATTTAGTTTGCGCCGCTGTTCTTCGTTCCTATATGTGATGTGACGTGCTGTGGCGATTGTCTTCATTGTTGTGTTCTCCCAGCACATCGTTAGGTCTCAAGAACTTTCCGGTAACCTGAACAATCCAACTGCAGGATATTCCCGGGCTCGATCGATACCTATCCTCTATTCGTTGACCGTTTAAATACCCGTCGGTGCCGGAGATCTAACGATTGTGCATGTGTACTTAGTGTTTTTGCAATTCAAATAGCAGCTCATTTGCTTTCTGTGGAAATGAGTACATCAAAAAACTTCTCTAAAATCAATTTATTTGCAGGTAATGCGATACCTACCATGCCCACTGCCCATCTGGGACCCGGAATGCAAGGATTTAACAACTCACGTGTTTCGCTCTTCAACGCTTCTACTCCATCATCGAATCCAGGCCACTACGGCGGTGTACACCAAAGACGTCGTAACGATGAGAGCAACGCGAGGTGAGCCGTTCAAATAGCTTTCATGCTCGGCGAATGCGCAGCCTATCTGGGCTGCTGCTGAGCGCGTCACTAGAAATAGCGTTCACGCAGAGTAGACGAAAAGCGACAAAGAAGGCGCGATTGTGACGGCGCCGATGAATCAATAGAAATGATCCTAGCTGTTGTATTTATGCTGTATTACTACCTGTTCGATGCTTATATATTGGTTTATTTTAAGGCAGCCAAACCGAAGTCATCTTCTGGATGATTTCCGAAATAATCGTACACCTCAGCTTCAAATTACTGACATTATCTCTCACGTGGTGGAATTTGCCAAGGATCAGCACGGTTCTCGGTAATGGTATTCTACTTTCCAGTGACTCTATGTCATCTTACATTTATGTTTTACAGCTTTATTCAACAAAAACTCGAGCGTGCATCTGCCAAAGAAAAGCAGTTGTTGTTCGATGAAGTACTTGCTAATGCGCATGCCCTAATGGTCGATGTCTTTGGCAATTATGTCGTGCAGGTAACCTTCGAACTAAGTTTGTTATGATGGGTATCTTACTCTTTCCGCAGTTCCTTAGTGTAGCAGGTGTATGAAATTTCTTTACCGCGCGAATTTTCCGCTAACCGCGCGCGAATAATCCTCATTCGACCATTCATCTGACTACTGCCAATGAGTTTCCTGTAAACTTCTCGAGTCAAAGTGATGCAGCTCAGTTTAAAAGAATTTTGTACAAAATCGATTCTGCATTTCTGGGCATTACCCATAAGCAATGAGACAGAGTTGATATGTTACTGCAAAAGGCCTACATAGAAACCAGGTCGATAGTCCAGAAATGGAAGTCTTCCACCCGAGTGGAATCCCTTTATGCTGGGTTAGTTAATTAGCTGAATCCAGGAACCGTTTGTTTTTACATCATTGATAGAAGTGAGAAGAAATAAAGCCAGTGTTTTGGTCGTGCGGTAACTTCGGGTAAATTTAACAGTTGACAGAGAACTATCGAGGGACTTACTGTATTGATCGTAGCCACCATGTAGTGGATTTATTTCAGCATTATTTAAATTACAACAATAACGTCGTGTTATTCTTGGTGGAACGCTTTCTCCACCACAGCTCAATCGTGTTCTTTTCCAGAAATTTTTCGAGTTTGGTACACCGGAGCAGAAGGTTGCACTTGGTCGTTCGCTGAAAGGAGATGTGATGAATCTTGCGCTTCAAATGTATGGATGTCGTGTAATACAGAAAGCTTTGGAATCGGTGGATGAGACCATTCAGCTCGAAATTTTGAAGGAATTGGAAAGTCAGGTATGTTGAACCTCCACCGGGAACAGAACTTGAGAATTGTCGCCTACAAGAAGCCCCATGATTTTGATTTTTTTAGTTTTAATTGTGAGAACGGTGTCTTGAACATAGTTATTGGTTGGTCGAGCACCTAGTTTAGAGAATCGCATTTTTTACTGATAGAAATTGAATTCAGGTACTGAAATGTGTCAAGGATCAAAATGGGAACCATGTTGTGCAGAAAGTGATTGAAAAAGTGAAACCGGAACGTCTACAATTTATCATCGACACGTTCATGAAAAATGGTCCGGATACGGTGAGTTTTTGGTTGATAAATGACAGTATCATTCGATCATGGTTAGTCCTGAAGATTCTGGGGGTTGTAACGGTAGATATTCAAGTTGTATTTACGATGGATGTATACGTCAAAAAGGATTATAAATGGCGGATTTCTCCTGCCCACCATTAGGGCACAAGGTAAATTTTCCCTTTCAAAATGTGCAGTAACGACCCATTGAGAGATGGAAAAGCTCCCAGACGATCAGAGGGAGCTACCACATTTAAGGCTCTTCACAAGAGGGTAGTGAGTAAGCCTGAAGGTGTGGTAGCGTGATAGGTGAAGTTACCCAAGAATAAGTTAGATGCGCCATAATGATAAGTTACAGTAGATAAGCGGCCTTGGCTGCTGAATGAAAAGTTTAGTAACTTTTGTAATTGGTTGTAAGTCAGTGTAATTTTTGATTGTAATCTCTGTTCCATTGGAGTTATCCAAGGTAAGCATACAGCGTACAGTATAGGGGCCTTATCCACTGATCGGAAACGAAAGCTGCCCAACCTTCCATGTATCCACGACCTATGACAAGGGAAAGGGTACGGGTTAAGGTACCATTTAATTGGGTCTCCATGGAATAAAGTGGTGGTTGCCCGCGCGAATAAATCGATGACCAATGGGACGGGAGGTGGAGCAGGGTATTGGAGCGGAACCCGTAGCAAACCGTAGTGGGAATACTGGACCATATGATGAAGGTAATTGCAGCTTGCGCCTTACAAATGCAACATTTCAGATCATGCAGTTATCAATGCATCCGTATGGCTGCCGTGTTATTCAAAGAGTCCTCGAACATTGTACTGAGGAGCAGAAGAGACCAGTTCTTGAAGCATTGCATGCGAATGTTCGCTCACTTGTACTCGACCAATATGGTAACTATGTGATACAGCATGTTATCGAACATGGCAGTGATCCGGATAGAGATCGCATTGTACGTGAGGTAAGATGCTAGAAAATATTCGCGACTTCTTCTTATGTTCAATGAAGGGAGAGGAAGATACCTTAACATCTCATATATTTGATAAATAACGTAACGGGCATAGTTCCGCGACGCGGCCGCACGCTACCTATGCAAGAAAGCGGCACACTGTTTTTTCCCTGATTAGAATTTCGTGGGGCAGGCAAGGGTTTCGTATTGCGTCTTCTTAAACGGCTCAGCTCATTAATTTGGCATGTCTGGGTGTTCATTAGCAGTGATTTTGACAGAATAGTTCTCATAGTCCGAAGACTTTGTGGCAAGAGAAATCACAGCGGTGATAAGATGGGCGACGGAGAATAATCCATCATACAAAGGAAGGCAAAACGCAAATTGACGGGGCTGGATGGGTTAGATCTATAAATATTCCCCGTTATGCGTGCTTAATCAATGTAGGACCCACAGTCCATATTACTGTATCCAAGACTTGTGAGCTCCTGGAGTGAGCTTGTAACGTTTTGATAATTCTTTCTGCTAGAATCCTCAATTTCGACCACTTTCTCTAACCAGTTAAGAATATTCAGTCGGAGGGGGCCACTACATTGTGCTCTGCGTCTCTCAACCAAGGGCCGGAGCGCAGAGAAGGAGGGACGCCGGTCTGCGAGCCTGTAGAGGTGGTTAGTAACGATTTTGTGATAGGATTATGGAGCTTTTTCCTTGTGCTTGAAGAGAAAAGTAGCAGCGGGGTGGGTAAGGCTTCAACCTCCTACTAGAAGCCGGAATGGGAGAGGAATCGGACAATAGGAGACACCGTCTCGCTGATAGAGCGCAAGCAATCGCATGAAAATGCGTGGTCCCCTCAAAAGAATTACCTCATTTTACCTTATTTTGTTTAATTTCAGATCACAGGTAATGTGTTGAGATATGCGCAGCATAAATTCGCTTCGAATGTTATCGAAAAATGTCTGATTTGTGCTGCCCCACATCACAAAACGATGCTCATCAACGAGGTCTGCGGCGATTCTGATGAGTAAGTTTTGAAAACGTTGAGCTTTTTCCGGTTACAGCTTAGTACTCGAGCAGTTATAGGTAGTAATTTCTTTTTATTCAGTCCAAATCCGCCAATTCTGCTAATGATGAAGGATCAGTTTGCGAACTACGTAGTGCAGAAAATGCTTGATACAGCTGACCCGGTCTACCGTAAGAAGATGATGTATGCGATCAAGCCCCATATTCCTGTTCTTCGTAAATTCAGCTATGGAAAGCATATTATCAGTGAGTTACACGTTTTAGCTTTATTGACTTGCTTACCTTTCTACTTGCTTTGAGTGGTTGTAACTGCTTTGTTCTGTTATCCTATGTTGACTTTATTTATATACCCGCCATTGCCTCTAGCCAATACTAGCCATAAATTAACGCAAATTATTCGTAACGGGGTCATGAAGGATGTGGTTCCCGCCTGGAAAACTAGGTGAGCGCGATCAAGGTTGCCATTTAGAGGGACAGGTAACACGTCAAAGTGCTGGGTCACTTTCCTTGAGGTTGATAACGGTCCTGAAACGAGTATAGGTCGAGGAATCTATTATGGTGTACTGTATTATAAAATCTACTCTATGTTAGACAAGTGGTGATCTGAGGGGGAGGGCAACATTTTCTCGGGAGTGCCCCAACGTATTGACATACCTAGGGCCCTTGCGGTACACATACTATACATGTACATATACATATACATATTATACATACATGCTGAATATCATACTCATAGAATGAGACGACGCTTTCTCAGTGTGGCTTAATAACTAATAATTAGGGCAAAGTCTGAACTTTCGTCGCTTCGTTTTCTGCCACGTTAGGTTCTTATAGGTTAGAGAATAGGCAATTTTCAGGAGATGTGGGATATGAGCAGACCTCTATCAGCCCCGCTTGACAAATTTGGAAAAAAAGTTCTTGAGTATACAAGTTATTCTAATCAGATGATTCTATTCGAAAAAGTGGGAGGTGGGCGGGATGGGAGAGGGTTGGGGGGGGGGGGGGGGGGGGGGGGGGGGGTGTCGCCTAGAACGGAGTAAAAGCTACGTCGCTTGAGGTGCGATGTGGAAATCCATGAACGCTTTTGTATATTGGATATGGTTATCCTTTTTGTATTTGTTAAATATTGATTTATCGAGCGAACTTCAGATGGTGGACGTCGTAATCACAACGTTGTACTACTTTTTTCTTTTCCATTACTTCTTTTACATTGTTGTAAACTTGTGTTGAATTTCATATTTCTACTGTATTTATTAAATTTACCTGATCATTATGACTTTATTTTTAGCGAAACTGGAGAAGTATTTTCAAAAACAGAACAACAATCATGCTCAGCATCATCAGCAATTGCAGTTTGAACTAGGAGGAATGCAAAATCCAAATGTGAGCCATCCGTTGTTGTAAACATGGTAAAAACTGGTAATACATTTCTATAACGACGTCAGCTCACCGGGATTTCACATTATTTTTCTCCTTGTTCATTCAACATTACTCGGTTCCGAATGTATCCAACTTGCAAGGCTAGATAACGCTTATCAAGGTGGTGTTTCGGGGGGAGGGACCAGAAATTTCATCTTAGGGTCCCTGAATGGGTGAATTTTCTGGAATTCCAGAGCTACTATCACTTTCCACCAAAAACTTTTCGGAAAGAGAAGATTGTGTTTTATTTGCATGGCAAACACCCATTTCCTAAAAATCCCACCCACGTTGATAAGTGTTGGGATAGCCGGTATTACTGGCGTAATTCTTGAACAAGCTCCTTAGTTGCGCATTATTCTAAATTGCTTTCATCTTTATTTCCTCTATTATATCTTTCAATGTACATTGCAGTCATTCGGGCTAAATCAGTCTTTGTAAGCATTTTTCAAAAATCCTTTCAATTTATAGTAATATATTTTACTATATTAGGGAATTTTCAGACATCAAGTTCATATACATAAGTAAATAAAGAAGTAATTGTAAAGTTTTCTCGTTCTTGTAAAAAAAAAAGTTAGTTTCATAGTTGTCAAGTCTTTAGCTGACTTACTGGAATCGATTGCATTCCAGTAAGTAGCTTGTTATATTTTATATATACATAGCTTTTTATAGGCAACTAATTTCCAAGTTCTATTTTGAAAAGCCGAAAAGACGCAGTGATTAGATTTTTCAAGAAAAATGTAAATTCCTTTAAAGTATTCAAATTGTTTATACATATGTATTGGTAACTTGTAAATTCAACAATAATAGCGTTCTTCAATTTTTCTCATCCGGTCTCTCATAGAATAGTGTTCACTAAGGGAGCTTGTTTGGAACAGCCCTGCTTGCAAATAGTAAATTGTACGACGATTTTTGGCTACTTGTTGTAATTTTGTAATTTTGCCACATTACAACAATCAATCGGTCGTTTTGTGTATTATCAACTGCTATCACTCATTATCACATCCTGTTCTCGTAAGAATTTCCTGAACTGTTGAAGCACAAAGAAATATTTGTCTTTTTTCAATATATCGATCGACTTGTTGAATTCACAAAAACTCGCTATAATGTTTTGTGTGTAAAATTTTTTTCGCTGCTCATTCCTGTTTTTTTATATTTTTGTCTCTTCCCCTCATTACTGCTGTCGTCTTTGTATAGCTGAGCGCTCAACATGATTTTCGTATATTATTGATTTCAATCAATAAGAGTTGTTGATTTTTCTTTTTTTATTTTTCTGTGTACAGTTGTTTTCTATGTATAATTATATAAGAGGTACCTAGTTTGTTAAGGAAAAATCTTAGCGGATAATTAAGGTGACAACGACAATCTGTGTATGTCGTACAGCTAATTCGGGGATCAATCATTTGACACACATTTGCTTGATAAACAAAGTTGTGTTGTTTTGATTATCACAGAGATTAGTAATCGAGATTTGTCTGTCTCCTAGAGTTCTCTGCACATGTAAGTTGTTCGTTGAGTTTTCATTTCTTATTGTACGTTTTTCTTCTTCCCCACTTCTCTGCCATGCATTGTTCAAGCAATTAGAGCTGTTTTCCAATAAAACTATGAGCACGAATTTGGTTGTTTTCGACATTTTTTACAGCTGTGTTTCCCACAGAATACTTGCTTGATTCATTCGAATGCAGATCGGATTACTTGTTTTAGTTGTTACTTATATATCCTCACAGTAGCAGTCCGCAATTATGTCTTTGCCCAGGCTCTTTTTGAGGCGTGGCATAGAACCCGTACTGAACTTCTTATAACGACCTCGATGCAGTTTAATATGTAGAAACTCTGATGAAAACCTGTTTTTGAGGATTCGCTGTAGATTGAGTAGGATATGACTTTTCTGGAACCCCCCAACTACATTTTCACCATAAGTTGTGCTGGAAATGGGAGCTGATGTTTTTTTGGCTGGGTACTTCACGCAATGCCCAAAAGGGCTTCCCATTTGAATCGATCGCTAGATCCCAGATCGCGGCGCTACTGCGCCTTCGGCAGCGCCATGCTGCACAGCTTTTTGAAGGGTCTATACATGTTTGAAATATGTTACGTAGCTGTCTTGTTGCTTGCTGGTTTCATAATGCTCGAAATGCGTCCAATTTCCTCCCATCTAATTGGGAGCTTCCACGACAGTGTGCTCACAATTAGAAGTAAGGAAGAATTCGATCTACACAAATTCCTAGCCCGCAAGCGTGAAAAAAAACCTTTTCTATACTGAATTAGAGCTCCTAGCCTGACGCATTTGCTAGAAATGAGGCTCAGGGTGATAGAAAGGTTCTTGTGGCTCCACTCTTTTATCACAGTGAAAACCGTGAGATTCACTTTACAGTCGCCATGTGGGATCACAATTTCATTGTGCACATTTCTTGATTGTTAGCTTAG